TTTTTTATTTTTTATTAACACAAACAACACAAACTTTACTGTTTTAACTTATTAAAGGTTAAGTGTGTAAGTTTTAGTGACATCTAGTGGTGAGGTTTGCGAATGACAAGAATTTCAGGGCAGTAAGTTTAGCTGGCTGATGCTTCCCATGCTTAAGCTATCCTTACGTTTTATTGCCAATTAACGTTACTGATCAGCTGATTGTCTCATTCTCATTCTCACTACAGAGCGGAAACTCCCTAAAATCCCAAGAATAGTAGTTTCGAGGAACCCCTTGGAGAACTGAAACTCCCTAAAAGCCAAATAGTAGTAGTTTCAAGGAAACCCTTGGAGAGCGGAAACTCCCTAGAATCCCAAGAATAGTAGTTTCAAGGAACCCCTTGGAGAACTGAAACTCCATAAAAGCCAAATACTAGTAGTTTCAAGGAACCCCTTGGAGAGCGGAAACTCCCTTGAATCCCAAGAATAGTAGTTTCAAGGAACCCCTTGGAGAAATGAAACTCCCTAAAAGCCAAATAGTAGTAGTTTCAAGGAAACCCTTGGAGAGCGGAAACTCCCTAAAATCCCAAGAATAGTAGTTTCAAGGAACCCCTTGGAGAACTGAAACTCCCTAAAAGCCAAATATAGTAGTTTCAAGGAACCCCTTGGAGAGCGGAAACTCCCTAAAATCCCAAGAATAGTAGTTTCAAGGAACCCCTTGGAGAACTGAAACTCCCTAAAAGCCAAATAATAGTAGTTTCAAGGAACCCCTTGGAGAGCGGAAACTCCCTAAAATCCCAAGAATAGTAGTTTCAAGGAACCCTTGGAGAACTGAAACTCCCTAAAATCCCATGAATAGTAGTTTCAAGGAACCCTTGGAGAGCGGAAACTCCCTAAAATCCCAAGAATAGTAGTTTCAAGGAAACCCTTGGAGAGCGGAAACTCCCTAAAACCAAATAGTAGTAGTTTCAAGGAACCCTTGGAGAGAGGAAACTCCCTAAAACCAAATAGTAGTAGTTTCAAGGAACCCCTTGGAGAACTGAAACTCCCTAAAAGCCAAATAATAGTAGTTTCAAGGAACCCCTTGGTGAACTGAAACTCCCTAAAAGCCAAATAATAGTAGTTTCAAGGAAACCCTTGGAGACTGAAACTCCCTAAAAGCCAATAATAGTAGTTTCAAGGAACCCTTGGAGAGCGGAAACTCCCTAAAACCAAAATAGTAGTTTCAAGGAAACCCTTGGAGACTGAAACTCCCTAAAACCAAATAGTAGTTTCAAGGAACCCCTTGGAGACGGAAACTCCCTAAAAGCCAAATAATAGTAGTTTCAAGGAACCCCTTGGAGAGTGAAACTCCTAAAAGCCAAATAGTAGTTTCAAGGAACCCCTTGGAGAACTGAAACTCCCTAAAAGCCAAATATAGTAGTTTCAAGGAACCCTTGGAGAGCGGAAACTCCCTAAAATCCCAAGAATAGTAGTTTCAAGGAACCCCTTGGAGAACTGAAACTCCCTAAAAGCCAAATAATAGTAGTTTCAAGGAACCCCTTGGAGAGCGGAAACTCCCTAAAAGCCAAATAATAGTAGTTTCAAGGAACCCCTTGGAGAGTGAAACTCCCTAAAAGCCATATAGTAGTTTCAAGGAACCCTTGGAGACTGAAACTCCCTAAAATCCCAAGAATAGTAGTTTCAAGGAACCACTTGGAGAGCGGAAACTCCCTAAAACCAAATAGTAGTAGTTTCAAGGAACCCCTTGGAGAACTGAAACTCCCTAAAAGCCAAATAATAGTAGTTTCAAGGAACCCCTTGGAGAGCGGAAACTCCCTAAAAGCCAAATAATAGTAGTTTCAAGGAACCCCTTGGAGAACTGAAACTCCCTAAAATCCCATGAATAGTAGTTTCAAGGAAACCCTTGGAGAGCGGAAACTCCCTAAAATCCCAAGTAGTAGTTTCAAGGAAACCCTTGGAGAGCGGAAACTCCCTAAAACCAAATAGTAGTAGTTTCAAGGAACCCCTTGGAGAACTGAAACTCCCTAAAGCCAAATAGTAGTTTCAAGGACCCCTTGGAGACTGAAACTCCCTAAAAGCCAAATAGTAGTAGTTTCAAGGAACCCTTGGAGACTGAAACTCCCTAAATCCCATGAATAGTAGTTTCAAGGAACCCCTTGGAGAGCGGAAACTCCCTAAAATCCCAAGAATAGTAGTTTCAAGGAACCCTTGGAGAACGAAACTCCCTAAAACCAAATATAGTAGTTTCAAGGAACCCCTTGGAGACTGAAACTCCCTAAAAGCCAATAATAGTAGTTTCAAGGACCCCTTGAGAGTGAAACTCCCTAAAAGCCAAATAGTAGTAGTTTCAAGGAACCCTTGGAGACGGAAACTCCTAAAGCCATGAATAGTAGTTTCAAGGAACCTTGGAGAGCGGAAACTCCCTAAAATCCCAAGAATAGTAGTTTCAAGGAACCCCTTGGAGAACTGAAACTCCCTAAAAGCCAAATAATAGTAGTTTCAAGGAACCCCTTGGAGAGCGGAAACTCCCTAAAAGCCAAAATAGTAGTTTCAAGGAACCCTTGGAGACTGAAACTCCCTAAATCCCAAGAATAGTAGTTTCAAGGAAACCCTTGGAGAGCGGAAACTCCCTAAAACCAAATAGTAGTAGTTTCAAGGAACCCCTTGGAGAACTGAAACTCCCTAAAAGCCAAATAATAGTAGTTTCAAGGAACCCCTTGGAGAGCGGAAACTCCCTAAAATCCCATGAATAGTAGTTTCAAGGAACCCCTTGGAGAGCGGAAACTCCCTAAAATCCCAAGAATAGTAGTTTCAAGGAAACCCTTGGAGAGCTGAAACTCCCTAAAACCAAATAGTAGTAGTTTCAAGGAACCCCTTGGAGAACTGAAACTCCCTAAAAGCCAAATAATAGTAGTTTCAAGGAACCCCTTGGAGAACTGAAACTCCCTAAAAGCCAAATAATAGTAGTTTCAAGGAACCCCTTGGAGAGCGGAAACTCCCTAAAATCCCAAGAATAGTATTCAAGGAACCCCTTGGAGAACTGAAACTCCTAAAAGCCAAATAATAGTAGTTTCAAGGAACCCCTTGGAGAACTGAAACTCCCTAAAAGCCAAATAATAGTAGTTTCAAGGAACCCCTTGGAGAGTGGAAACTCCCTAAAAGCCAAATAGTAGTAGTTTCAAGGAACCCCTTGGAGAACTGAAACTCCTTAAAAGCCAAATAATAGTAGTTTCAAGGAACCCCTTGGAGAGCGGAAACTCCCTAAAGCCAAATAATAGTAGTTTCAAGGAACCCCTTGGAGAACTGAAACTCCCTAAAATCCCATGAATAGTAGTTTCAAGGAAACCCTTGGAGAGCGGAAACTCCCTAGAATCCCAAGAATAGTAGTTTCAAGGAAACCCTTGGAGAGCGGAAACTCCCTAAAACCAAATAGTAGTTTCAAGGAAACCCTTGGTGAACTGAAACTCCCTAAAAGCCAAATAATAGTAGTTTCAAGGAACCCCTTGGAGAGCGGAAACTCCCTAAAAGCCAAATAATAGTAGTTTCAAGGAACCCCTTGGAGAACTGAAACTCCCTAAAATCCCATGAATAGTAGTTTCAAGGAAACCCTTGGAGAGCGGAAACTCCCTAGAATCCCAAGAATAGTAGTTTCAAGGAAACCCTTGGAGAGCGGAAACTCCCTAAAACCAAATAGTAGTAGTTTCAAGGAACCCCTTGGAGAACTGAAACTCCCTAAAAGCCAAATAATAGTAGTTTCAAGGAACCCCTTGGTGAACTGAAACTCCCTAAAAGCCAAATAATAGTAGATTCAAGGAACCCCTTGGAGAACTGAAACTCCCTAAAAGCCAAATAATAGTATTTCAAGGAACCCCTTGGAGAGCGGAAACTCCCTAAAATCCCAAGAATAGTTCAAGGAACCCCTTGGAGAACTGAAACTCCCTAAAAGCCAAATAATAGTAGTTTCAAGGAACCTCTTGGAGAACTGAAACTCCCTAAAAGCCAAATAATAGTAGTTTCAAGGAACCCCTTGGAGAGTGGAAACTCCCTAAAAGCCAAATAGTAGTTTCAAGGAACCCCTTGGAGAACTGAAACTCCTTAAAAGCCAAATAATAGTAGTTTCAAGGAACCACTTGGAGAGCGGAAACTCCCTAAAATCCCAAGAATAGTAGTTTCAAGGAACCCCTTGGAGAACTGAAACTCCCTAAAAGCCAAATAATAGTAGTTTCAAGGAACCCCTTGGAGAGCGGAAACTCCCTAAAATCCCAAGAATAGTAGTTTCAAGGAAACCCTTGGAGAGCGGAAACTCCCTAAAACCAAATAGTAGTAGTTTCAAGGAACCCCTTGGAGAACTGAAACTCCCTAAAAGCCAAATAATAGTAGTTTCAAGGAACCCCTTGGTGAACTGAAACTCCCTAAAAGCCAAATAATAGTAGTTTCAAGGAACCCCTTGGAGAGCGGAAACTCCCTAAAAGCCAAATAATAGTAGTTTCAAGGAACCCCTTGGAGAGTGGAAACTCCCTAAAAGCCAAATAATAGTAGTTTCAAGGAACCACTTGGAGAGCGGAAACTCCCTAAAATCCCAAGAATAGTAGTTTCAAGGAAACTCTTAGAGAGCGGAAACTCAGTGGATAAGACACAAGCCTTTGGTGTGAGAGATCCGGGTTAAAATCCCCACTGTAATACATCCACCAATGTGTCCCTGAGCAAGACACTTCACCCCAAGTTGCTCCAGAGGCGTGAGACCTCCGACATATATATAGCGTGTATGTAAAGAATGTTTGTTAAAAGATTTGACCTTTTTGGTTCTAATGGTGAATTCTAGAAAATATAAAAGTGATGTTACGAAGATTTAGTTAAACATAGTTAACTTTGATTGACAAAAAGGTAAAGCAGTACACTAAAATGGCCACTAGATGGCAGCAAAAGAAAATAAATTCACTGTCAGAAGGTGCCAGAAAGCGTGCAGTCAGCAAACATGGAGGAGGAGATCACGTAGAAATCCCGCCTAAATGGGAGATTGAGGATTTCAAAGAAGGTGATCGTACGCACTCAGTTCATCCTGATGGGATAAAAACTTGAACACGAAATGAATCAGCACAGCAGTGGGCCTTACTACACACTGGGGATACATCACTGCAGTAACTTGGTCTGGTCTTTAAGCTGCACCAAATCTGTAAAAGAAAAAACATGAGAATGACTTCGCTGATATGTTTAAAATCTGTGTGCCATTGTTTCCTTCACCTCCGTTGGATTGTACTGGGTCTTTTCTTTATATTTGTGGACACTGAGCAACCTAAAATAATG